CCCCCTCCTTCCCAGTGCTGTCCCACTGCCCTTCCCCTGCCTGGGCGCAGCAGCGTGTGGTGAATCCCAGGCATCCTCTGAGCCACCCCACTTGCAGGGCAGACAGGTAACCTCCATCACAGAGGAGAAATGGCCACAGCATCAGAGGAGACACAAGACAAACACAGGGAGCAGTGTCCAGCAGCAAGAGAGAGGGCAAGGAGGACACACTGGAGGAAGGGGAGGAAGCCTGCCAGCAGGCTTAAAAGGGAGGGAGGGAGGAAGGGAGGGAGGGAGAAAGACAAGGAAAGGGAACGTAGGTCTCCCATTTCTCTGGGAGCTCCAAAAAATGCTCTGCTCTACAACCAGAAACATGCCCCAAATATTTCACACCTCCGCTTTCTTATCCTCAGCTTTGGGGATCAGGGTGGATCAGACACAGAGAGGAGGGGGCCGGCTGTGCCCAAAGCAGTGCCAAGGCAGGAAGTTTTGCAGGATGAACAAGCAGGTAGCCACATAACCAAAAACCTGCTGTAGAAGCAATATACATCCCTCAGCCTGCGAGTGTAACTGCACAGCCCACACTCCTGCTAGAAAACAGCTCTCTATTTAGAGCTCCTGCATCTGCTTTCAATAGAGTATTACAAAGGGAATTAACTATACCACAGGCAACAACAGTAACAGGGCTTGAGAGCATCTCTGGACAGGGAAGGTCTTCCTGTAGATGCTGCACATCTCATATAGAAACTAGGATGTGTGTGCACAGCACACTTGAGCAACAACACGGTGAAATAACTTGTACTTCACCCCTGGCAGTCCCCCAGCCTCCTGCTCCGAATACTCTCACCTAAGCTCTACTTTGCCAGTTTACCCTCCGTACCCTGGTTTGAAGGTGTCTGCGCAAACAAGCTGTGTGACTAGGAACAGAACAACACACGTGGAGCTTGGAGTAACCTCAGGGCCCGGGTTTTGAGAGGGAGGGACTCACATACTTGTGCGGGGAAACCACAGGTTTTGGGTACTGACACCTGCCTTGCAAAATAAGGGCCTGACAGCAAAAACACTGGGAACCATCGAGTCGCTCCTACCCTACCAGAAAGCTCTCATTAGTCTGACTTTCACACCACATTCACTCAGAGGAGGTGCTCCAGCCACTCCACTAGTTAGATAAGAAATTTTGGCCCTTTGGGCCACAGAAGTTGAACTTGGCATCAGAGAGACACAATTACAGTGGTTGTAAGGGGGAATAAAAGGCCACAGATCAGTCACCTTTATATCTACAGCACCTGGCACCAGAAGAGTTCAAGGACACAAATCTTTACTGCCATCATAAGCTATATTTATATTTACCCTGCCTGAAATATCAACTGTTTCAGCCACCCAAGCAAGCTGAGAAACTTCAACTAGATTAAGAGAAACAAGGCTATTTTACTATTTTGAAGCTGGTAAGGCTTCACTAGTAATGGGTCATGAAAGAGTTTTACTTTTCCTCAGTTTCCAATCTCTTGCTTTAAACTACTTGTTTTGGGGAGTTTGGGGTCACTAAACTAAATACTGCAAATAGAGAGGCTGCAGCCTATGCAGAATAAATGATTTAAAAACTGGACTTGGCTGATTTATTTTTTCCTCTATACTGGAGATAAAAAGAAGGAACACATTCTAGTAATCCCTGCTCATTTTCATGGCCATTCTTGCACCTGTAACTCAAATAATGAAGCCATTTGTTATTTATATTGCACTTTCCCTTCCATTCTAGATTTCTAACGATCTGACCCTGTTTTATGGCCCTGACAAAGCCTGAAACTGGTGTGGACTTCCAATAATTGAACGATATAGGGAAAAATCTTTAGCTGGAATGAAGCAGATGTTAGCTTCATGCAGTCCCCTAACTTGATTATTCTTTGGACACGTTAGACAAGCATTAGTGATTGATAATGACGCTAATTAACCCCTTTCCTTTCCAAAACAGCAAACCAACACCAGCAGGATTCCACAAACAACACACACAAAGTACGGTGTATATCAATACCCATTCAAAGTGGATCAGTGACCCAACTTCACTTCAGTGCTTGACAAAAACCTTCTTCCACCAACACCGAGCCAGCTCCAAATCTGCTCTAAGAGTTAACCTCTCCCGCCGCCGACAGGACAGGGAGCAGGGACACAGCCCTTCACTTCCAAAAAGGTTCCCGGGACAGAATCAGAGGCACCATTTAGCTTTTACGCTCCCGACCTTTCGCATTTGATTATCAAGCCGGTTTAAATCGTTCTGCCCTCACTAGCTGGGACAGGCTTCACGTCACTCCCCGTTGGAAGGGCGCTTGTTATTTTAGCCACACTTTGCAAACACAAGGGCTGGCACTCTGGGAATCTGGTCTGGGCTGAGACATGAACATAGTGAGGAGGGAAAGGGAAGTGCACATTCTGGAATTTAAATGCGAGGCAGAAGACAAGTAAACAAACAGGGAGCTGATCTGATTACTCAGTCAAATTTATCATGGACAATAAAGAAATCGCCTTTAAACGTAAGGGTTTGGATAAATGAATACTCCTAGCAAGTGAATAAAATGTATTCAATTAACTAAAAACCTCGTGCACTTCTGAACTGAAGTGGAATCGACTGTAATTGATTTATTTGAAACCAGAGGTTAAGGACTGAATTAGCTAAGTACAACTGGGTATTTCAAGCCACTGACTTCTCAAATGTCAAATCCCTTCTATTTTAAATATTATTTCAGCTGCGGGGCATTGCTGTCCTGATGGCTGTTCCACCAGTTAAATCTCAAATTATATTAATATTCGATTTTTGGAGGGTGGGGTAAATTATGGTACAAAGAGGAGGGCTGTCCTTGTTCACGGTGAAAGAGCACCGAGCTGTATTTTGGTTCACATGTAGGAATTAGCTTAGCGTGGCAGCAATGGTCTAACATTCAGCCGCTGCTCACCCTCATTTCAGCCAATCTGGGGGAAAAAAATAACAGCCGACTTCTGTTTAGTGTATAAAAGCATGACCTAGAATTTCACTGCTGCGCCTTGATCACAACGTTAAAAACGCATCCAAAGAACGCTAAAGTAATTAGCACGTTTTAGTAACTGCATATTGGTCACAGCAGAAGAGGCTGAACCGAAGCCAGTCTGATTTCCATTATCGCCTGTAAAATCCTTCCTTAGAAATAATAGTAATAAAGAAATCTATGCAAGGTCATTTCATTTCTGTTTTCTGGTGGCTTGCTAATGCAGCAGCAGGATACTTAAAATGCGCTCTCCTAGCATAAAGTAGCTAATTATATCTTTAAAACATTATTTATTATGACCTTATAATGTTCTAGCATAAGACTGCTTTATACATTGCCCAGTATAAAACGATTATATTGGGTACAGGTTTCAAAAAGTAACAAGCATCTGTAAATCCAGATATGAATGAATGGTATTTAATAAGATTGTTTTCGTTTAAAAATGAGTATTTATGTGTTGCTGTAGAAAGAGCAGCAATGTATTGCTGTTTATGAATGCTATTGTGCCTGAGGTTAGGATCCCACACACAATCTGAGATGCAGCCAAGAAAAACAGCCCTGATAGACAATGCTTCACTTCACCTGCTACAATACTGTGCATTTCATTTATGTCAAGAATATGTACAGTTAGGGTTCATTCACCTCATTATTTTGTTACATCTACTTTACAGTTAACCAGTCTCTCTTGGAAATAATAAATAACTGTTTTTAAAACAATTGCAGCTTTGCATTCAAAAGATCCACTTTCAATTTATAGGAAAAAAATATTCACCATTTTTATAAACTGGCTGGCTCTCGAAAATAGAATTTAGACTCCACCAACTCTCTTTCTGCTTGGCAAGATTGATTTTACACTGCCTTCCATAAGTAGATTACCAAAGCAAAATGAAACATCTTGGGCTTTATCTAATGCTTTGCTTCACCAGCCCTACCAAACGTCAAAATATATGAGCAAATGTTAATTCTTTCTGCAGCTTCATTGTAAACACCTCCCTCTTAACCTCCTCAATTTTTGCCTGAGCAAAAAGGAAAAAAAAAAAAAAAAAAAAAAAAAAAAAGGGCAGAGAGAGAGAGAGAGAGAGTGTCAGGGAGGGAAGAAAAGAGAAAGAGAAAAATCAACCACCACCACCAAAACATCACCAGTACTTACAGACTATCTCTTTAAAATGCCTTTACATTCTAAACTGCATTAGCCTCCTTTCCTGCGATATAATATAATACAGCCTGATCCTGATTCCACCTACGCCCTGGGCCAAAGAAAATAGATTCAAAGTCTGAATTCTCACATTTTCACAGCTCATCTTCAAGATGTACGCTCCATTTTTTTTAAAAGCAAACTTCCCTATTTTACAACTGGTTTCCACAAGAAGAAACTCAAGATAAAAATTTCAGTCCCTTATAAACTGACACAGCCATCTCAAAATGTCAATCTGTGCATTGCGCTAAAACATGAACCATCAATCAGAAATAATCTGTCTCCTGCAAGATTTCGCTAAAGTTCACAACCGTGAGATGATTTTGTTGGCATCGACTACGGAGCTTTTGTTTTTTCTTGAGGGGGATGGAGCACCCAGCTCTGATTCACCAGTATATGGTTTTTTTCATAGCACCCAATTTTCAGTATTTGCTCAGCAATGATTTTTTTTTAAATTTCCTTTTTGAGATAATGGGCTTTTTTTAATCTCTGCCCTCCGTTAGGAGAACTACATGTACAAAATTTTATAGGCTTATAATTCTGCATGCCATATATAAACATAAATAAAAACCTAGAGGTCAACATAAATAAAATAAAACTTTATTTTTTAAATAAAATTATGTTTTGGTTAAAGAAAAGATAGTGTGTCATTTTGTTAGTAGTACAGACAATTTTTTATCCAAAAGAATACATTGTGCTTTATTGTGTCATTTGTCTGAATACAGACTCAGTGGAATATCTAAATGATACCCTGCTCTGAACTCCAAGTTGAAAGTAAGTTTTTATTATACTTGAGGGAAACAATGGGTTCAGCTGCTTATTGCAAGGAGCAATTGTCAAGGGAGAGTTAAACTCAATTACTGTAACCATACTGAATAAAAAATACTGCCAAGAACAAAAATACGCCTGGGTAAAGACAGCCACTGAATAAAAAAATCGACATAAAGCGTATCAAATATTTATTTATCTGGGCAACAAAGGACTATGATACATTGATAGGCATGGAAACTACTGCCGGCACAACTCAATACAATACAACTATAACTGCTTCCAATATGGCCAGTGGAAATACAGGATACCAGGTGGTCCCAAATGTTTGAAGTTCTTTGGAGAAAAAAAAAAAAAAAAAAAAAAAAAAAAAAAAAGAAAAAAGAAAAAAGAAAAAAAGGAGAAAAAGAAAAACAAAAGAAAGGGAGAAAGGATTAAAAAAAAAAAGGGGAGGGGGAGGAAAGAAAAGCTAAATCTTGTTTTAAAAGACAATATTAATTTATTGCTCTGATGGTGCTTTCGGGAAAAGGACAGTGGATGAAAATAACTTCTTCTTTCATTTTCCACAACACATAAGGGTTGTAAAACCACTAACATGTTTAAAAACCTTGCCAGGGTCCAACATCACTTTATTTTATCTTCAATGAGAAACTAAATGTCATACTAATTATATATAAAAATTCATGGTTCTTTATTTGTTCAGCTGCTTCATTGTCGCCTTTAACATGCTACAACAGGGCTAAAAATGATGAATCCCAGAGAAAAAACCCCAAAAAACCTCTGATATCTAAATAAGTACCATGAACCACATGATGAACTAAGAGGGGAAGATTTAAAACCCACTAAACAAGAGGTAAACGAGATCACCAGATAAATAAAAAAAGGCTTAAAACAGACTCACCATATTTACAATTCCCATTAAATTACACATAAATAAATATATACATACATGAACACTGATTCCCTTATATAATAACCGTGAATCGTGTTGCAATAGAAAGTTCAAGTTGGTCGCTTTACCTTGGACAGGAAAAAGTTCTACAACTGAAGATATGACATGGAACTGCTTGTGTTTTGTGTTCAAGTTTATTCACAATACTGATAAAATGTCATCAGTCCTTTTTGCCTTTTGTTTGTTTGCTGTTGCTGCTGCTGTTGCACTTTTTTCACTTTTTTTTCGGTTTTAATATGGCTACAATCTTAACTGAAGTTTATGTAAGGGAAGGTGGTGATTCAGTCCGGTGAAGCTCATAGAATTTTTAAAGTATTAGTTATTTATTTCTTTTGGGGCTTTTTTAAAATTTTTTTTAATATATTTTTAGAAAAAAAAGTCCTTTTCTTTTTTTGTTTTGTTTTTGTTTTTTTTTTCCTCCTTTTGTTTTATTTTAAAAAAAGTTCACAAACTCAAGACAGAACTTTTTTTCTTTGCTGGCTCCATCCCCCTGTTCTGTTCTCTTGGGCTCCAAACTGGGGTATAACGATGGTGGCAGCGGGGAGGGGGGGGAAAGTCAAGAGGGAGCAAATGGAAATGTGGATGCTGGGAAGGGGTTTGGGGAGAGGGCAGAGCAGTCCTGCAGAGTCAGAGAACAGGATTGGCAGAAGGACGCTCATTCTGTTGCTGTAGCCTGGGGTGCTGGGTGCAGGGGAGAGGGAGGAGGGAGATGAATGGATCGATGGGCTATGAGGGGGAAGGGAGAGGAAGGGGGGGATCCTCACTTTCGGTGCTTCTCCTCTTTGTCGCCGCTTTTGGTGCTGTTGTCTGTGTGGCTGTTGGGATTGTTGCTGAGGTACATTTTGTCCATGGCCTTGAGCGCCTCGGTGAGATAGTTCTGCAGGGCGGTGACGGCAGCGCACACCGCCGGGCTCCCGAAGCCGTGCGAGATGAGGTTGAAGTGGGTCAGGCAGCTCTGGATGCCCGGCTCCAAAATGGGGTTGGGCCGCGAGTTCCCCAGGGGAGATCGGTCCTGAGCCAGCAGGTCGGTGAACTCTTTACAGATCTGTCTGTAGCACAAATGGAGCAGAGAGACAGAGGGAGGGAGGCAGGGAGGGAGGGGAAGAGAGAGGGAGAGAAATGAACCATCACTGGCGGCAGCAAAGCCTGTGCATGCTCCCTGCTAGATTACACAAGCCCCTGGATCAAGGGGGCTGCTGCCCCCAAGCATACATACGCTCTCTCACCTCTCCCTCTCCTCTCTATACATCCTTCCCCCTAATTCTCACACTTCCACAGCATGCACAAACCTCTTCCCTTCGCCTCGCTCACACACAGGTTTGCACGCACACGTCACGCCCTGGCCCCAACCAACACACAGACAAATAACAGGCACACAGATACGCACACCTCCCGCCTACCCCCATGGCAGCCCCCCCATGCCCTCCCTGCAGACACGCGTCCCTGCTGAGCTGGGTTTTGGGGCAGATGCCCAGTTTAAAGTTCCCCAGCAGGGCGAAAGGGAATAGATGGGGGGCGATATCTAAAGGGAGGTTCAGGGATTTATCCGTGTCTTGGAAGATCCTTTTTATTTGGAACTGGAGAGAGGTGCGGGCCTCCTCCTTCACAAGGCTAAAACATGCCTGTGTGTCGGGAAAAAAGAGCAAAGGCTGAGAGGGGAATCAAGGCTTTAAATTAGGGTATTCTGAAACATTTATGTATGTACATCTATATCTCCAAATCCAAGGGGACCTGCCCACAGAGGGGAAGGTTGACACTAACTAGGGTCTGGAAATTTCCTTCCAGGGAGGTGGGAAGAGAGGATACGAGGGCACGGTGCAGAAGTTAGGTTATATCATCCACTCACTGCACAAATGGTTGGGGAAATAACACACCTTATAGCCAGAGAGCTCAGAGGCGTGTTGAAACAGTTTGTATTCTAAAACTCCCCTTAATGTCTTCCAGCCATAAAGCGGTTCCCATCTTCTGCCTGTGCCCTCTGGCACTGTGCCCTTTGGTGACACCTCCATTGGTAATTAAGGGCTACTAAACAACCCTTTTAATTTCCAGCAAACATATCAAAACAATCATTTTCTTTTCACACACCACCTGGAAGTCTAGGCAGCCCCACCAATGATAAACTCCACTAGCATTTTAACTGTGTACAGATTGCCATTTAAAATATATTTTTAATATCCCTATATTCACTAAGTAACAGAGCTGCTTAGGCAGAAAGAACCATTGCCGATTTTAATGAACTGAAATCAGTTTAATGTGCCAGTTTTATTTTACTGTCAATGGGAAGCCTTCCCCTTCTACCTAAATTGATAAGCTAAGTGAAACGGCCTCGAAAATTATTTGCTCTGAAGAATACCGCTTTTTCTTTAACTAAACATACACCCACAATTTTCACGACTCACTTTCAAGGTAATCTGCACAAACTGACTTGATGGAAAGCAAACTGTTCTATGGAGTTCTCCTATAGCAGGAGGGCAAATACACCCCCTTGCAATTTGCAAAGCCATCAACCACTGGCTATGTATGTGGCAAATGCTCTCAAATAAAAGCCCCAAACCCGGGTTTGTCACCCTCCCCTCACTTTTGAGCAACGTGCCAGAAAGTTAAATGTCTTACTTTGTAGCTAGAAGCATGTTTTTTCTTGTGACTTGCTCGTTTGGATCGGAATGTTGTCGGTTGAGAAATTCAGCTACTGCTTTGGCAGGAAATTCTGTCTCACAAACGTACCCAAAATCTCTAGCGAGATGTACTGCTTCTCCTGAAAAGGGAGGCACGGGTGGGGATGGGAGGGAAACACACAGCTCATCAGTACACATTGCACAGAGGCAAAAATCCATTAGAAAGAAAAAAGAAAAAGCACTACATTCTATCAGGGCTTTTCTTCTAAAAGGCTTGGACTTCTTTCTTTGAAAAAGGTAGGGTAAGAAATGCTAATCCCATTTTATCTTGCAGGAGTTTGCTTCAATCGAGGGCAATGCAAATGTGTATTTTCACTACGATCGTTACAAGAGAAATCTCACATCAGAATTTTTTAAAGTTTGCATTGACTAACATACTTTTAGACAGGCAGGCTCCATCCACCTAGAACGTGTGCTTAGATTTACATATCTGTACCTGTACACTGTCATTTACCATATTTCATTCACAGCTATTTACTCTGGAAATGTTTGTGTGCCTCAGCCATGTCCCTATATTCTTTTGCAATGCATCAATGATTAATATTGATCATAATTACTCCTAGAGCTCTTCTAAATAAAATGCATTAAACAGCTAAGTGTTTAAAATTTAACTTGATCGCATATAATTATATGTTCACCCCCAAACGATTAACCATGAGAATTTTAGGGTCATTCCACCGAGTCTGTCTGTTTTGTTGATTTTCAAATCTTTGGTTTTAATTTCCTGAACCAGTTGGTTTTTACTGCAGGGCTTCCTGCCATTAGCTCTAGCTCCGGAAGAACGCATGCGCCAATTAGAGCTTCAAAGCCTCAGTCCAGTGAGCTTGTTTCCATAAAATGGAGCGGATCATAAACAATAACAGTACTCTAGAAACTGCCTCATCGCTACAGGACTCAAAGCCCCAGCAGTGTTTATACTATCATCCCCCCAAAATTAGCCACCATCGCTAAGTTATCTGGAGATCCAGGGCTGGTTTTGTTTTGGTTTGGGTTTTTTTGGTTGTTTTTTTTGTTTTGTTTTGGTTTGGTTTTTTTTTAAATCATTCTTTTTAAAGCCATTGTATGTGAAAGCCAAACAGAACAATAGATTACCATAAAACCTTCTCCATATTCATTAACATCACAAATAATGTTAAGCATCTACCAAATCTAGACTTTTTACAAGTTTTCCCCTAGTGATTTTTTACTACAGCACATCGATGCAATTTCAAAGCCTTTTCAAAAACGTGAAGACGCAGTAATTTTCACGCAGTATAAATATAGTGCGGCCACTAATCCTGATGTTTTAAAAAATGAATCCTGGCATTGCGCAGTGCTTCTTTCCCCGTCTCTTTGAACATGAAACGTTCCTCACAGAATACAAAGTGACAACAAAACAAAGCAACAAATTCCCTCCTCCACAACCAAACTTAAGCCAAACCTGCACACAGCCTGGGCCGAGCTTAAAAGCCCTTTGCAGACTGAATCAGTCTAAAATGCAGTCAAACCGTAAGTGAGGGGAAAGGAGGAGGATCTATTCGCTGGCCTTGAGCTTACTTTTTGCCAGTCAGTGTGACACATCAACTGCTCCAAAACTAAACTACCAACTAAACTAAACTGCCAAACCTTGAGCTTCCCACCTCCCGGTTCTGACAGCACAGGGTGTCCCAAGGCATTAAAGGTAAGTTGCACCTTTTCTGGCCAGAGCAAAGTAGAGGAGAACGATATAGCAAGGGAACACATGTTCTGAAAATGAGAACCAAAGGGAGTGGGGGGTGGTGGTGGGGTAACTTTGAGGCTTTCAGGACACCATTAATTCATGGCTGAGGTCAAGGATTCCCAAATTAATTCAGGAAGTAATGGTCACGCATTTCTCAAATGCAGATGTCAGAAAAGTTAAATGATTTACTGTTATGTGGCTGTGGGCTGGGAGGGAGAACAAACTTAAAGTAGCTGCAGTTTCTGACATTTAAAATTGCTTGGTTGTCCACCTGTGGCAGACGGATGGCAGTGAAGCATTAGAGGCTCTGCTCCCCGTAACTTCCAACTTGCCACTCAGGGGTCTCTTATGGGCTAAGCCCACAGCCCCTGTCCACAGGGATCCTTCCCATGCTGCTCCCAATGAGATCCGCTTAGTCTGGGGGGGGATTACTCACTTAAATGAGGGAGAAAGATGGGGCCCTGAAAATTACTAGCTTAGAGACTTAAAAGCAAATAAATGGTAGAATGTGATGCTGAGTCTGCAGGACTCGCACAAGCCTATTTCAGGTTAAAACCAAAAACAAAGGCACACAATTAACATGTTTCGGGGTTTTTTTATGAGGCAGAGAAAATAACGCCCTTCCAATTTTCAACAAGCAGCACTGACTTGGGGAAAAAAACACCAACCCAACACCACATCTTCTCCCATTAGGCAAAAGCAACAGGCACATTTTCCAAATGGGCCCTCCCGGCTCTTTTAGTCACTTACCCTCCACAAGCGACGTGAGCAAGGTAACGTTAGCAGCTTTACGCCTCCCGGCTGGCAGGTTTAATCCTATTTTGTCCAGTTTCTCCCTCAGAGATCTCCCTCCGTTTTTAGACTTCGCCCTGCTCCGCACAGAAAGGCACTGAGAAACGGGGCTGGCGGGGGGGACCCGCTCCCACTTTGGCTCCTGCCCACAGGTGACCCCGACACATCGCCTTCCCGCAGAGGGGAGTAAAAGTTTGGGGAGCCATGGTCATGGGGGGCTGAAGGACAAGCGTTGCTGAAAGCGGAGTCTCAGACATAGGGATGGGGCTTTGGATGGCTCCATGTCGAGGGAAGAAGGGCCCTCACTGAGGTCTGGATCAGCGCCCAGGCTGGCCAGGGCTGGAGCCTGGAGGCAGCTGCCTGAGCTCCCAAGGTGCCACAGACCCGGGGGCAGCTTCTCCCCACAGCCCACAGGCAGCGGCCCAGGCATTACGGGAGGAGACCCCCCGTTACCACCATGGCACATCACTGCCCTCACACTAATCCCTGCGTGGCTCATCCGCGGCTTTTCGACAGAGCCGGACCCAGCCGGGCCATGGAGGTGGGAGCCGATTTAATTAATCCTGAATGTTATTGCCTGCCTGGGCGCTGCCTAATTGCCTGGGCCAGGCCGCAGGCCCAGCGTGGCGGGCAGCAGAGTGGGTGCCCACCGGTAACCTCCCGGCTCCCTGGGGGGTGCGGGGTGTATGTGGGAGGGTGTTCATCACCGTGACGGGACAGCGTGGGGGGACACACAGGCGCCAGACCCCCAAAGCGGGGCAGGGGGGCCACGCAAGGCTGCGC